TCCGCGTCCGTCTTGGACACGTGCACCTTCCTCTGCGCAGACATGATCTTCCTTGGGATGTTGGACCTGGCCGCGTCTTTGGCGGACCCCTTCGGTGATGACGACGTGGACTTCCCCGTGGCGCAGTGGACCGCCGAGTACGCGCGGTCGGCCGTGAGCCTCCTGGAGGCCGACAGCTCGCCTGGGGCCGAGGACTGGCTGGACCACGCCGCCGCGCACGAGAGAGCGGGCCCGAATCTGTGCCTGTGAGAGAAGGAACAAATAACAAAGAAGAAACTGTCACGAGGTGTCTCGGCCGAGCCCGAATGCTTCTGTTCCCCCTGAATAGAGAGAGAGAGAAAGAGGGTCTGCCAGGGTTGTGCCCCTTGTCGGCTCCGCTTACGTTGGGGGCGGCTGGGCCTTGGGGAAGCGACAGAAGCCGACGGGCAGCATCTCGGCCGAGGCCGGATGTTTCTCGGCCGACGGGCAGCATCTCGGCTGAGGCGGTCTCTCGGGGGGGGGTCTGCTCCATGTCGGCTCCCCCGTGCCTTGGGGATGGGCCGCTTCCGCTTTTCTATTGTTGTCGTCCCTTCGCATCCATTCCCAGCGCCTTTGAAATAGTTTCCGTCCAAAATGCGGGGGGGCGGCGTGCTCCTCACAATCTCCCGCTGGTAATCAGCTGGTGCTGCTCCTACCCCTCACCCCGTTGTTGTTTCTGCCGGGTTCCATCTTCAATAAGTCAACGGTTGCGCGGTCTGGCTCACAATATGTGTTGAGGTTCCATAGCGTTTTCGCATTTTGTGCGAGCATATTCCAGGCTCTTGACGCAAATTCGCTCCCCCTGGACTTCCCGCGCCAATTCTGGTATTCAGCCAGTGATCTCCACGATTGCCGGTCCGTCGGAGCGTATTCCCGCAGTCTTAAAATCTTCATTCATGTGGGACGCCATATATTATTGGAACGCTTCCTGGGGCCGTGTTGGTTCGGTTACTCCCCTAGAAGCGTTTCCCTAAACAAGTTTGTCTGTAAGGGGTCTTTACAGGCTCATCTTCTACATATACGAATGCCTACATATACTTACACGCATGCAATCAATCCCATACACTATAATAAAGGTACGTTTATAGATATATCGATGCCCCCCATGCCAGGCCCCCGAGATCGTGGCCCCCCCATCGTGGCTCCCAGTCGTTGCCCTGTATCGTGGGCCCCCCACCGTGCACTGTGTAAAGCAGTTTAGGGTCTTCTTCCACAAGTGTTTCGTTGTTCGTAGGCGTTAGAGGTATGTTATTTGCGATTCGCTGAACTGTCCTTGAATCGCAGGGGCGGTCCCCCACTGTTGGTGTGGACATCCCGTCGTCGAGGATGCCACGCCAGCCACCGTGGCCAGGTACGGTCGGGGAGGGGAGGCGGATTCGCCGGGGCATGTCGCGGCTCCTGGCGGCTGCGTGCGCGCGCGCAGGGCCGCGCCTCCTCGTCTCTCGCTGCGCGCGGCCCCCTCGAGGGTGGGCGCACAGTCTCCCGCGCGCGCCCTGTGCGCGGGGGGGAAGGTCCTTCAGCTCCACTTGGGGGTGGCGTCAACGCGTTTGCTGGTGCGAGATCGTCTTTTTGTTTGTCGGAAGGCGCCCTGCGCATGTGAAAGTTTCCCCGTAAGTTTCGCCCATGCGGCAGTTTGAAAACGCGCGGGGGCGCGGGCAGGACGGCGGGTGGCCTGCTGGGCAGGGCCACCTGGGCGAGCCTCGTGCTCAGTCTCGAACGCCCGGGGCCGACGCGCTGTGGGCACTCTCTGCGCTCCGCGTGCGGCCGGCGGCGTGGCGGGACACGGCCGGGCGCCCTCGAGCTCTGGTGGAGGCCAGGACTTCCTCGACGAGGCCGTGGCGTGCAGGCGGGTCGTGGTCGCCGCCCTCGCACGCTGGCCTGGCCTGGCCTCCCCTCGGAAGTTCGGAGTGCCTTCCTGGCCACCCGTCCCGAGGCCCATTCATGGTGAGCCCCATGCGAATCCGCTCTGTGAGTTCCAGGGGGGAGCCCCCCGAAGACGGGCGGCCCGTGGTCCTACAATTCGGGCGAGGGTCCCGTTTTCAGGATTCGCGACCGTCCGTGTATCTTCAAGTCGGGCCTATCCCTCTACAGGGGGAATATTCAAACATATTTAAGAAAAATAGTCTGGGGACGATCGTTTGACATTTTTTGTATGTTTGGTGCATTTGGGGGGTATGTTTAGATTTTTCGTCAAAGCTCCCCCTGTAGGGAGACAGGCCCGACTTAGAATGTATCTGATGATGAGGACGGCGACGGGGTGGTCACAGGGCTCGGGAAGCTGTCCAGCGAGGGCCCCGGCTTTGAAGGAGAGCCGCCCTGGCTCCAGCATCACGCCAGACGCCCGGACGTGCAACCTGGGCGGTCTCGGGCGAGAGTTTCGATTGGAAACGGAGCCACCACCATATCCTTGGTATACATCTGTTGCCGCATTGGCTCTAGCACCACGTCAGACGCCTGGTCGTACAACCTGGTCGGTCTCAGGCGAGAGCTTCGACTGGAAAAGGAGCCACCACATCCCATCCTTGGTACACATGTGTTGCGCGACTTGTTGATGTAGGATCAGGAAGTGCGAGGGGTTACCGGGCGAACGCTCAATTCTGCCAAGGAGCCGCCTTCCATCTGTGTAACCGATGGACACGTGTGACACGGGCGTTGAGGCAAGAGCGGCATTTCAAAATAAGTCGCCCTCCATGTGTGTATGTGTTGGAAGTTGTAAAGCGAATGTAGCTGTTGGGAGCATCAAGCTTCGGAACCATTAGCGGGCGAAACGGAACCCCTGATCTCAGGCGAAACCCCCAGTCCGCTATGCGGACGCGTCTGGCGGTCAGACGATGAGGATATCTACAACGAAACAAGATGAAGGAGCTAGCAATGGAGGGAGAGAGTGAGGAGGATCGGCGGCGGCGGCGGCAGGAGGACGCAGAGGGGGGCAAGGACCAGTCCTGCTGCGCCCGAGTAGTCTCTTCTCCTCCCGCCTCTCCCCATCCTTCGTCCTCCTCCTAGGCCTCTGCCTCCTCGCGCTCGTCCTCGTTACTGCGTGCAGGCCCGAGTCGGGCGCACTCGCGGCGGTCAGGCGAGCTCTCGCTTTGTGACAGCTCCGCAGCCCCCACCTCTAAATTGAAACTATATGAATACTACTCTCCCCTCTCCCCTGGTGGAGTCCGGGAAATGGCCGGCCCCCCTCCGCGAATTTGTTTTTTCCATTGGATTCCCGGGAATTGGGTTTTCGCTTGGGTTTTTGCTCAAATGTTGCTCTCGCTGAAGCGCTGGCCTCATTTTCGAGCTACCGCTCGTTCCGAATCGTGCTCCCGCTACAGCGCTGGCCTCATTTCCGCGCTTCCGCTCGTTCCGAATCATGCTCCCGCTGCAGCGCTGGCGTCACCATTTCCAGCGCCATGCCACGGCATGGTGTTCGATCCTTCCAAATGGCTTCAACATGTAAAAACTGCCCCCCCACCCCCCACCCGAAAAAGCCATCAGAAGTGATTACACATTCGGTGTCGTTCCGTTGCTTTCTTGGGCCGCAGAAGACATCCCTCCATCCCTTTGGGGCGTCGCCACGCCATGCTATGTCAGGCTACGCGTCCTCATTCCCGTGCTTCCGCGCTTGGGTTTTTGTTCAAAATGTTGCTCTCGCTGAAGCGTTGGCCTCATTTTCGGGCTATCACTCGCTCCGAATCGTGCTCCCGCTGCAGCGCTGACCTCATTTCCGCGCTTCCGCTCGTTCCGAGTCGTGCTCCCGCTGCAGCGCTGGCGTCACCTTTTCCAGTGCCATTCCACGACATGGTTTTCGGTCCTTCCAAATCGGCCCCTCAATCTAGAGAATGGTGCCCCGAAAAAAAACATCAGAAGTGATTACACCTTCGGTGTCCATTCGTTTTTTTGGGGAGGCCGCAAAAGCCGAATTATGGGACGTCGCCACGCCATGCCACGTCATGCTACGCGCTGATCCTCAACACCATGCTATGCCATGTAATGCTATGCCATGCTGCTACATCCGATTGTGCGAGGAGATCTACGCCATGGTAAGGGATGCGAGGGAGGGGTTGGACGTCAGGTATGACGCGAGCGCACCTAGCTTGCCTCCCTCCCCTCCCTCCCTCCCTCCTCGGCCCTCCCTTCCCCCCCTCCTGCGCTCGTCCCATCTCCTCCCGCCCTTCCCCCGCGGCGCTCGAGGCCTCCTTCAAGCCACGGCAGCCCGAGTCCCTGGCGCTCCTGGCCGCGGCCGGCGGCAGCGGCTCCAGCGGTGCCCCGGCTGCGCGCCCGCGGCCTTGGTGCAGACGTCGGGCGGCCGCCGGGCTGCGTTCCCAGACATGCTCGCGTCGTACAAAAACAAGAAGGTGAGGTTGTTCATTGTTTTCGGCCTCTGGGGTCCCTTGGCGGGCCCCGGGGCCGTCAAACAACGAATGAGAAATTGGTCCCCGGAAGCGGTTCGGAACTTCGGGAGGCCCGCCATGAAACGAACATTGGCATCGCATGTCTGGGCTCGGCCTGCCCGGGACGGCAGACACGGCGTGCGGTATCAGACCTACTACAGCCTAAAGCGAGCTTGTGGATCCCTCCTCAGCCTCCTCCTCCCTCTCCTCCTCCTCCTCCCTCTCCTCCTCCTCCTCCCTCTCCTCCTCCTCCTCCCTCTCCTCCTCCATCTTGTTCTGGTCCCTGTCCTCCCCCGACCTCCTCGCACACAGCCTCATTCTGCTCCTCCATCCTCATTCCTCTTCACCCCTACGTTACTCCGCCTCCTCGCTCATTCGTCCCGGCTCCCTCCCTCCTCCCGACTCCGATCCTACCTTCATCCGCTGTCCATCCGTCCTCTTCCCGCATGCGCCCTCCCTCATCGCCACAGCCCTGGAAGCTTCCGGAAGGGGCCATCCCCCGCGAGCGGGACCCCCGGGGGCATCTGGAATCGCCGCCCCCGCGCTCACAGCACTCGCGCTCTCGGCGAAGGGGCCTCGCTTGAGGGAGAGGAGGGTTGCGCGCGCATGGAAGGCGGCAGTGTGCCGCCAGAGTTCCTGCACATCGCTGCCTCAGCAGGCGCCATGCCGCTGGAGGGACTCAGCGCCATCCGCCCCCCAGTCTCGCCCGCGACGGCGGCGCGAGTGGCGTCCGCACCCTGCGCCACCCGCCTCGCCCTCAGTGCCCGCGCGAGAAGCTCGTCGTGGCGCAGGGCTCGATGGAGGAGAGCCCCTCCTCCTCCTCCTCCTCCTCCTCCTCCTCCTCCTCCTCCTCCTCCTCCTCCTCCTCCTCCTCCAGGCCCTGCTGCGCCTGGGCCGGGCTCTGGCAGCGGGTCGGCGAGTGCACGGTGCGGCACGGTGTGGCGTCGCCGCGGCCCGCTCTCGCGCGCGGCGAGCGGCGAGCGGGCCAGAGGAGGCGTGCCAGAGGAGGCCCCGCGGCAGGTTTGACGCTGCCTCGACGCGGCGGCGGCGCTGGCGTGCGCAGTCGAGGCTGATCGCCTTCGGGGGTCCGCTCCGGGCCCCCGGGGACAGAACGAGCAAGAGGAGCAGGCGAAGCCTCCCCCTCTCCAGCTAATTCCACCGCCTGCGCGCAAGGAAAAGCCAGCGGCGCGAGATTCGTGCGGAAGGTGGGATCGTTGCGCCCGGGGGACCTCACGCAACGGAGATCGCTCGGTGTTGTGAGTGGTGCACGCGGCGTCGGAAGCCAAAGTCGGTGTCGGCTCGTGGTGCCTGGCGCGGTGGCAGCTCGGGCCCTACAGACTGAAGGTTTTGACGGCTTTCCGACGATTGCCATCGGCGGAGGTCGGAGCCAATTCACGCGGCGGCAGGAGGTCGGAGCCGACGCGATCATGGCAGGAGGGCAGTGTCCACAGAAGTGTCCTCGGTCTTGGCTAAAGTGGTACACGCCTGGTCAGGGATGTTTCCGCGTTGTAGGTGTGCAGGAAAAACACACATACAAACATGAAAGCTCGTAAGTCCGCACGGATGTCCTGGGTCGGTGCTGGGCCCCCCCCACAACCCTTCCCCGGCGCCCGGCGCGCTCCGGGAGCGGCGCCAGTGGTGCCGTTTGGGGCTGTCGGGGGTCTGGCGCCGACCCAAGAATTCCGCGCGTACTTCCGAAGCTTGTCATTTCTGTACGGCGCTGGCACGGCAGTGGCACCAGCAGCGTGGGCGTTAAAGGTTGAAGGTCACCAGTGGCCAGGAATCGGCCAGTACCGACCGATCCGCGCTTTCGGAAAGTTTCGTCTGTTCAGGGTCGAGAGATCCTCGCGGTGTCAGAACTTCGAGCCGACAGTCGTCGCAGCACAAATTTGCCGCAGGTGTCATTGCTGTTTTGAGTGGCTGGGGTCACGCGAGGCCACTGGTTGCGCGCGCCCTGGCATTCGCATGCGAGGTGGAGCGGATGAGGGCCTTGCAAGCCAGCCCGAGAGGTGCGCGCAGCCTTGTCCACATGGCAGCGCCGCGCTGTAAAGGAGGCTGGCACAAACGCGCTCAAGATTTTCCTCGGCTACAGGCTTCAGCCGGCGTCCGAGTGGGTGCTGCATGTGGAGCAGACGCGCCCCAAATGGATCACTCCTGGCTTCGAGGAAGAACTGTTGGCATAAGCATCATAAACTTTCGGAGCTCCGCGCCAGTGGCGGCGCCAGAGATGCCGCAAGGGGGTCCAGCGCCGATCGAAGAAATCCGCGCGGAGCTTCGAAAGTCCATGGTCATGCCGTTTTTGCTCTTCCATTCACGCGCATTCTTCTGAACGGGGTTCTGTTGAGCGGTGGGGGCGCTGGAGGTCTCCAGGGAGTCGCCGAAGGCTCACGGAGCCTCGGAGGGCGCTCCCCGCGGGGGCTCTCACCATCCGTGCGATCGAAATGGGCACCGAAAGAATGCTGGCGATGACGAGCATCAGCTCCTGTCAGCTTAAAGCAGGGCTCGCTGTCGGCATCGCCGCGGGCATTGTCCGCTTGAGACACACAGGCGGCTGCCCGACAGCGGCCGCTTGTCGGTTCTGGGCAACACTTGCCACTTGCTGTCGGGCATCGTGCCCATTTCTTCTGTACCCATTGCGGGCGGGCGTCGGAGCAGAGACAGTCGAAGAAGACATAGCATAACAGCATCGGCATAAGTTCGAAAGCTCTTCGCGGCGCCTCCGGCGCCGCACCTGGCGCGCTCCGTGCGCTGGGGAGGGATGTCCGGCGCAGGTCCGAGATGTCCGTGCAGAGTTTCCAATGCTGCTGTTTACGCAGATGTTTCTTCTCCTGGGCAGGAGAGCAGGTGTCCGTCGCTTGCCGAAAGCAGTAAGCATCTCTGGATTACCGCGTCCCGATCTAGTTTCAAAGCGTTTCTCGTATTTCGAGAATCGATCCTGAGATCTTGCCTCGTTTCGAGCCCCCGGACCCTCACAGATCAGGTTCTAAGGTTTTGAATGAGTTGTTCTTGCAATGTTGCATGTTTGTTCGTGACGTCGGATCTCGGTTGAGTGGTCCCTCTCCTTCCTTTCTCTCCAGGAGGCGAACCGAAGCCCAATCTAGTTCAACGCCTTCCGACTTCGTCCTTCTACCCGCTTCGTCTGAACGACAGGAAGGACTCTCTGGGGACTCCAGGGGGCTTCCTGAGGCCCATTTTGCCGCCATCCACTGTCGGCTCCAACGGCCGGGTCACGATTGTTTGGGCTTTTGGGGGGTTGTTCTGACGATAGTGGGCGGTCTTCTGACTCTTGTGTTTTCCTGGCGCCCTCTTGAGGCCGCATTGGGGCTCTATCGGGACTCTTTTGGGCCGCTTTGGGACAATGCTCGGGGTCTCTTGAGCCGTCTGGGTGCTCTGATTCCGGAAAATGTGAGCATGTGCGAATCATGTTCTAAACCCAACTGTTAATCAGTGACGATTGTCTCTTTGGAGCCTCTCGGGGGTCCCCTTCTAGAGACGTCTTGATGCTGTTTTGGGGCAATTGAAAGGCTGTTTTGAGCCGTATTGGGGGACAATGTGACCGTCTAGGAAGCTCTTGGGTTGCGATGGCAACATCCGCTGGGTACTGTAAATGCAGGAAACCAAGTAAGGTAAGTCTAGAAATTATCTAAAGGCTGCCGCCTCTGCCGCCGACCCCAAAGGAGGGTTTGTGTTGTTTGTTTGCAGGGGTCGGTGCGCTCTCCGTCACCGCGGTGGGCGTCGAGGATAGACTCTTGCCTGTGGCGGCCGCGTCGTCGTCGGCTCGATTTAATTCGCCGTGCGCGCTGTTTGGGGCCCTCTTTGCCCGTCTTGTGGCATTGTTGTTTCTGAAGCAGTCACGCAGGTCTGAGGCAGACGACCGGAGGACACGCCTACTCTGTGCCCCAGGCACGGTGGCAGATCTTGATCCATCACGAATGATCTTCAGCTCGCGGAAACGCGACGTCGTTCCCGATGCCGTGGACGGACGTTCTAGCGCAGTTGGCTGCCGCTGATGAGGCTGCCGCGGACGGGCATGCGCCGGCACTTCCGCGCAAGGGCGCGGAGCTTGCAGGCATCGCGTCTGTGATCTTGAAGTCGGGCGGCGACAACGATACTGCGGAGAGCATGTCCACGTTCGTGCACCAGGCGCTGGTGCGCAGAAAGGTGGTCGTGGACCTCATCGAGGGGGCGAGGGCCCGCGGGCATCGCGCGTACAGAAACGTGGACATGGAGGAGGTCCGGAAAAGAGCCATGGAGCTTCCGGAGGAAGGCGTGCCACCGGAGATCATGCGCCTGGTACCCCTGGACGACGCGCTTGAGAAGATCCAAATGCAGAAGGCGGCGACGCCCGTGCCGAGGCCCGACGGGCTACGTGAGGCGGGAGAAATTCTGGAGACCACGAAGGCGAACGCTGTGGTGTGTGAGAAGAGCAGTTTCGACGAGATAGACATCAATGCGCAGCGGATTGAGGCCGTGCGGAACTTCGTGCAACGGCTAGATGAGGAGTGCGCGCATGGCGGGGCCGACGACGCGTCGAACTCATCCAGCGAGGACGAAGAAGGCGGCGAGAAGGCAGGACGGGCAAGTAAACGCGGGCGCGTCCTTGAGGAAACGGCCTTTGGCGCGGATGAGACGGCGCGGGAAGCAGTGGAGCGCGACATGCTGATTCAGGCAGGGCGCGAAAGGCAGCGCGTGGATCGGCTCCGCGTGCGCACTGGAAACGTGATGATGGATCAGTTCGAGCCCTGGTATTTCGGCGTCGCGTTCGCGTTTCTGTTTAAGTATTGCAGGGGGGCTGGGAATGTCAGACGCGGTGGGGGCGCGGTGGGGGGTGCCGGCGAGGATTTTGCAGGGTGGGTGGCTCCTAGAAATCTAGGTCAGAGGCCTCAGGGAGCTGGGAATGTCAGACGCGGTGGGGCGCGGTGGGGGGTGCCGGCGAGGATTTTGCAGGGTGGGTGGCTCCGAAAAACCTATGCCCAGAGGCCTCAGGGGGGCTGGGAATGTCAGACGCGGTGGGGGCGCGGTGGGGGGTCCCGGCGAGGATTTTGCAGGGTGGGTGGCTCCTAGAAACGTATGCCCAGAGGCCTCAGGGGGGCTGGGAATGTCAGACGCAGTGTCCCGGCGAGGATTTTGCAGGGTGGGAGGATCCTAGAAAGCTATGCCCAGAGGCTTCAGGGAGGCTGGGAATGTCAGACGCGGTGGGGGCGCGGTGGGGGGTCCCGGCGAGGATTTTGCAGGGTGGGTGGCTCCTAAAACCTATGCCCAGAGGCTTCAGAGGGGCTGGGAATGTCAGACGCGGTGGGAGCGCGGTGGGGGGTCCTGGCGAGGATTTTGCAGGGTGGGTGGCTCCTAGAAACCTATGCCCAGAGGTCTCAGGGGGGCTTGGAATGTCAGACGCGGTGGGGGGCGCGGTAGGGAGTTCCGGCGAGGATTTTGCAGGGTGGGTGAAACTCATGCCCAGAGGCCTCAGGGGGGCTGGGAATGTCAAACGCGGTGGGGGCGCGGTGGGGGGTCCCGGCGAGGATTTTGCAGGGTGGGTGGATCCTAGAAACCTATGCCCAGAGGCTTCAGGGGGGCTTGGAATGTCAGACGCGGTGGGGGCGCGGTGGCGGGTACCGACGAAAATTCTGCAGGTTGGGTGGCTCCTGAAACCTATGCCCAGAGACTTCAGGGGGGCTGGGAATGTCAGTCGCGGTGAGAGCGCGGTGGAAGGTCCCGGCGAGGATTTTGCAGGGTGGGTGGCTCCTAGAAACCTATGCCCAGAGGCTTCAGAGGGGCTGGGAATGTCAGACGCGGTGGGGGCGCGGTGGGGGGTCCCGGCGAGGATTTTGCAGGGTAGGTGGCTCCTAGAAACCTATGCCCAGAGGCCTCAGGGAGCTGGGAATGTCAGACGCGGTGGAAGCGCGGTGGGGGGTCCCGGCGAGGATTTTGCAGGGTGGGTGGCTCCTAAAAACCTATGCCCAGAGGCCTCAGGGTAACTGGGAATGTCAGACGCGGTGAGGGCGCGGTGGGGGGTCCCGGCGAGGATTTTGCAGGGTGGGTGGTTCTTAGAAACCTATGCCCGGAGGCTTCAGGGGGGCTGGAAATGTCAGACGCGGTGTCCCGGCGAGGATTTTGCAGGGTGGGTGGCTCCTAGAAACCTATGCCCAGAGGCCTCAGGAGGGCTGGGAATGTCAGACGCGGTGGGGGCGCGGTGGGGGGTCCGGCGAAGATTTTGCAGGGTGGGTGGCTCCTAGAAACCTATGCCCAGAGGCCTCAGGGGGGCTGGGAATGTCAGACGCGGTGGGGGCGCGGTAGGGGGTTCCGGCGAGGATTTTGCAGGGTGGGTGAAACATATGCCCAGAAGCCTCAGGGGGCTGGGAATGTCAGATCAGTGGGGGCGCGGTGGGGGGTCCCGGCGACGATTTTGCAGGATAGGTGGCTCCCAGAAACCTATGCCCAGAGACTTCAGGGGGGTTGGGCCCAGAGCCCTCAGGGAGCTGGGAATGTCAGACGCGGTAGGGGCGCGGTGGGGGGTGCTGGCGAGGATTTTGCAGGGTGGGTGGCTCCTAAAACCTATGCCCAGAGGCTGCAGAGAGGCTGGGAATGTCAGACGCGGTGGGGGCGCGGTGGGGGGTGCTGGCGAGGATTTTGCAGGGTGGGTGGCTCCTAGAAACCTATGCCCAGAGGTCTCAGGGGGGCTTGGAATGTCAGACGCGGTGGGGGCGCGGTAGCGAATTTTGCAGCTGAGGATTTTGCAGAGTTGGTGAAACTCATGCCAGAAGGCCCAGGAGGCTGGAAATATCAACGCCGGTGGGGGCGCGGTGGGAGGTCCGGGCGAGGATTTTGCAGGAGGATTTTGCAGGGTGGGTGGCTCCTAGAAACCTATGCCCAGAGGACTCACGGGGGCTGGATATGTCAGACGCGGTGGGGGCGCGGTGGGGGGTCCCGGCGAGGATTTTGCAGGGTGGGTGGCTCCTAAAACCTATGCCCAGAGGCTGCAGAGAGGCTGGGAATGTCAGACGCGGTGGGGGCGCGGTGGGAGGTGCTGGCGAGGATTTTGCAGGGTGGGTGGCTCCTAGAAACCTATGCCCAGAGGTCTCAGGGGGGCTTGGAATGCCAGATGCGGTGGGGGCGCGGTAGCGAGTTCCGGCGAGGATGTTGCAGGGTGGGTGAAACTCATGCCCAGAGGTCCAGGGGGGCTGGGGATGTCAGACGCGGTGGGGGCGCGGTGGGAGGTCCCGGCGAGGATTTTGCAGGGTGGGTGGATCCTAGAAACCTATGCCCAGAGGCTTCAGGGGGGCTGGGAATGTCACACGCGGTGGGGGCGCGGCGGCGGGCACCGACGAGGATTTTGCAGGTTGGGTGGCTCCTGAAACCTATGCCCGGGGACATCAGGGGGGCTGGGAATGTCAGTCGCGGTGAGAGCGCGGTGGAAGGTCCCGGCGAGGATTTTGCAGGGTGGGTGGCTCCTAAAACCTATGCCCAGAGGCTTAGAGGGGCTGGGAATGTCAGACGCGGTGGGGGCGCGGTGGGGGGTTCCGGCGAGGATTTTGCAGGGCAGGTGGCTCCTAGAAACCTATGCCCAGAGGCCTCAGGGAGCTGGGAATGTCAGACGCGGTGGAAGCGCGGTGGGGGGTCCCGGCGAGGATTTTGCAGGGTGTGTGGCTCTTAAAAACCTATGCCCAGAGGCCTCAGGGAAACTGGGAATGTCAGACGCGGTGAGGGCGCGGTGGGGCGTCCCGGCGAGGATTTTGCAGGGTGGGTGGTTCTTAGAAACCTATGCCCGGAGGCTTCAGGGGGGCTGGAAATGTCAGACGCGGTGTCCCGGCGAGGATTGTGCAGGGTGGGTGGCTCCTAGAAACCTATGCCCAGAGGCCTCAGGAGGGCTGGGAATGTCAGACGCGGTGGGGGCGCGGTGGGGGGTCGCGGCGAAGATTTTGCAGGGTGGGTGGCTCCTAGAAACCTATGCCCAGAGGCCTCAGGGGGGCTGGGAATGTCAGACGCGGTGGGGGCGCGGTAGAGGGTTCCGGCGAGGATTTTGCAGGGTGGGTAAAACCTATGCCCAGAAGCCTCAGGGGGGCTGGGAATGTCACACGCGGTGGAAGCGCGGTGGGGGGTCCCGGCGAGGATTTTGCAGGGTAGGTGGCTCCCAGAAACCTATGCCCAGAGACTTCAGGGGGGCTGGGAATGTCAGACGCGGTGGGGGCGCGGTGGGGGGTCCCGGCAAGGATTTTGCAGGGTGGGAAAAACCTATGCCCAGAGCCTCAGGGGGGCTGGGAATGTCAGACGCGGTAGGGGCGCGGTGGGGGGTCCCGGCGAGGATTTTGCAGGGTAGGTGGCTCCTAGAAACCTATGCCCAGAAGCCTCAGGGAGGCTGGGAATATCAGACGCGGTGGGGGCGCGGTGGGAGGTCCGGGCGAGGATTTTGCAGGAGGATTTTGCAGGGTGGGTGGCTCCTAGAAACCTATGGCCAGAGGACTCAAGGGGGCTGGATATGTCAGACGCGGTGGGGGCGCGATGGGGGGTCCCGGAGAGGAGTTTGCAGCTCCTAGAAACCTAGGCCAAGAGGACTCAAGGGGGCTGGATATGTCAGACGCGGTGGGGCCGCGATGGGGGGTCCCGGAGAGGAGTTTGCAGGTGGTCCGAGGTTGAGGGAAGGGCGTTGGAATAGAGTGTGCGATGTATCAAAAGACAACGTATCCAGTTGAGAAGGATATCGCACACGCCTCAGGGGTCGGCGGATTCTTTGATTTTTCGGGGGGGCAAGATCCTTTCACTTCTAATTCTTCTATCCTGGGCCTCTTCCTGGCCACTAGGGGCAGGAACAATTAGAAACGAGCACAATTAGAAATGAGCACGATTAGAAATGAACGACGTGTCAGTGTGTTGGGGTCCAGGGCTTCCAGAACGGGTCATATGGTATCACTGTGGCGTTCTCCCCAGCGCCGTTACCACGCATGTATGCCGTCTTGGCTGGACATCACGCATGCAAGTTCGAGCCACATGAACAGTCGTGGAGCACGTCGTGTCCTCTCGCTTGACGCTGTTGGTCTTCGAAGTGCCGCGTTCTCGAACTAGCCGTGATTCGACAGGCCCCCACTGTTGCGGTCGTGGTCACTGCCGAGTACACTGCAGAAGAGACTCTTCCACCAAATGTGACTGCATACGACCTCGTGTCTTCCACTGCATACACAGGTGCTAAGACGACGGGGTTGGTTGATGCTCTGTCTGTGCCTGCTTCCGCGATTACAGTGACAGGTTTCACCATCGGTGCTCGTCGGCTCTCTATCGCTGCCCGCCAGCTTTCGAACACAGTTTCTGTGACGACAAGCTTCGAGGTTGAGGTCAGCGACATCAGCGCCGCCACGAGCCTCTCCAACACGATTGCTGGAGCTGCCGACGCTATCAAGGCCAATACTGACATTGCTATGGCTGCCGCTGACTGGAGTGGTGAACTGGTGATTACTGCAGCTCCTACGATGACGACTCCCGTTGTGGCTACCCCAGTTGTTCAGGCGGGCCAGATGTCTTTTCGGTGAGGACGACGGGGAGCAGATGGCGAAGGAGGAAAGAGCATGCTGAGGGCTAGCACGAGTAGGAGGAGGTTTGAGTGCTTGTTTCATTGACCATCCGGTCAATTGTCATATCCGCACGCCCCTTCGCAATCCAACGTTTCGCACGGGGGTCCCTCACGGTCGCGACTGGTAGGGTACAACCCGTAGCGGCGGACTTGGCATCGAAGCTCTGGACATCGAGCTTACATGAGGGAACACACAGAGTTGGTCGCAGTTCTTAAAGGTGACACGGGCATAGAGGCTCCAGAAAGATGTTTCTGGGGCGGGCTCAACCTGAATTGTGGCGTTGTTCGCCGACTTGGGCGAAATCTTGAATGGAATAATTACGTGCCATCGTCGTTTCAAAAATGAAGCTCCAGTGGTTGTTTTGCCCTCGGAGTGGAGGCTTCGAGCGCGGAGCGGGCATCAAACAACCACAAATGGAGTTATGAAGCCATACGCTGGCCGAGAGGCTCCAGAGTTGCGTTCTGGGATGGCCGGATTTTTTTGAGTGAGACGCTCACACGAATGGTGGCCATCTGAGTTTCACATGCATAGTTCGAACGGCGATCACCAATATTTATTGAAACGAGGAGGAGAAAGCGGAGGCTCGCCAATCCTAATTCGGATGATGAGGAAGAGGAGGAATTCGGCGAAGGGGCGGGAGATAGAGGACGAAGGAGCAGCGGAAGCAGCAAGTAGACCTGGGCCGGGACGGGAACGGAAAGAGCGGACCAGGAATTTGCCCGAGATGGCTCACGGCACCCTTCGTTCTTGGGAGCCTTGGTGGTAAGAGCTTGTTACGTCACTACTCCTTGTTGGGAGCCCTGGTGTTCAAAGACTTTTACGTTGCCGCTCGCTCTTGGGAGCCTTGGTGTTGAGAGTTGTTTACGTCACCGCGCTCTGGGGAGCCGAGGCCATCTGGAGCTCTCTTGTGGCCGTCTTTGGGCTCTCTGAAGCCGTTTTGGTGCCCTCTTGGGCCGTCTTGGGGCCCTCTGGCCGGTTCACCCGAAAAAATAGAAGGAAACAAGCCATGGGAGCCGACCGGGAGCCGCCTCATTCCCAAAAATACAAAAGGAAACGACCCCCCGACGGCCATTTACCAGAAACAAATGCCGCTTCATTCGAAAAAATAAAAGGAAAAACGGGCCATTAGACCATTCTCTTCGGTCCTGCCGTCTCCCCCGGACCCCCTCCCTAGAAGGGCTTCGCCCCCTACGAAAGGTCTCTCGCTCGTACCTCGCTTGTTTCGCCACCAGAGCAGAACGGAGCAGAGTAGAGTAGTGTTCACTTATTGACAGGATAAGCCGGTTCGATCCGCCAGACCACCCAAATCATAAAGCCATCCTTTCATCCTGGAGGCCGCGACTGAAGCGAGCGGTGGGAACTTGCTACAAATCTCAATGCGCTCCCCAGTCCACGCGCGAGGCCATGCGAGCTGATGCATTCATGCCCGCACATCGATGGCGGTGCTGATGGGGGTTGGAGCGCGCGCGCGCGGCCTGCGTGGAACTCTGCATGAGCTGACGCACTTCTCGCCGATTGCAGCATGCAAGATGTGCGCGAGTGCGCCGGGCGGCACGATCTCACGAGCCCGAGCAGGCTTCTTGAAAAGCCCATGGGTGCTGTTGGATTTCGAGCTGGACCGTTGGGAATCATGTGGCTTCCACATGGGCACACAGGGCTGGAAGCAAGTTGCTTCAGAGACGTTAGGGGGCCAGCAGCGAAGGCGAGCGCCAACGCGTTGGGGTAGCCAGCGGGCCGCTCCGGAACTAGGGGCACGAACATGTGACCAAAAGAAGAGGAGGACGGCCGTGGAGCAGGAGCGCGGGAGAAAGCTTCAGGCACTGGAGACTAGTGTACCAAATTGTTGTGCTGTGAGTGGTTGCAAACACTCATGGTTTTAAATGATTTGCCAGTCCACGGGCGACTGGTCCTACTTGTGATAAGTAGTTGCTCGAGTGATTGATGGTGGTTGTGTTGTTCTATGTTCGCCTCTTTTGCTACGACATGCGGCACGACAACGTGTCGCACGTGCGTGCTGCAATGCCAAGCAACACCAAGCATTGTAAATCAGGGCCGAGCAATGCCAAGCAACGCAAGTCCACGCAAGACAATGCAAACCAGCACCAAGTAATGCCATGCAACGCCAAGCAATGCAAACCATTGCAGAGCATTGCCAAGCAATGCCAAGCAATGCAACGCAAAGCAAGGCCACGCAACGCCAAGCAATGCAAAGCAATCCCAAGCAACCTCCAAAAGCAGCGCTAAACAATGCCGCAATGCCAAGCCACGCCACGCCAATGCCAACCGATGCCAAGCAACGCCAAGCAATACCAATCAACGCAAGGCAACGCCAAGCAATGCAATGCAAACCAATGCCTAGCAACACCAAGCAATAACAAGAAATGCAAGGCAATGCCATGTCTATGTCAAGCAATGCCAGGCAATGCCGAGCAATCCAAAACAACGATTCCAAGCAGTGCCACGCCAAGCCTATGCCAACCAACGCAAAGCAACGCCACGCCAGCGCCAGGCAAAGCCAATTAGCGCCAAGCAACGCCAAGCAATGCAGCGCAAAGCAATCCCAAGCATGACCGAGCAATGCAAAGCATTGTCAAGCGACACAAAGCAACGCAACACAATGCCAAGCAATTCGTTTCACTGCATGGCTGCGCATTGTCCAGACATGCTCTGCGTTGATTTGGAAGAAGGAAGATCCCTAATTTGATTCGCGACGATTGTACCAGCGCGGTGAGGCAACAGTAAAGGCGCGCAGGCGGTCGACGGGCACAGCTGCGAGACGCCCGCGCGTGCAGCCGCGCGCCGCATTCGAGCAAGGGCGCGAGAGAGCGGCGCGTTCGCCGCGAGGTCAACAGATGCGAAACGCTACGCGATTTGGGACTATGCTTGAGCTGCCTGAGAACCGTGGCCAGGCAGCCACGGAGGGAGAGCGCATGTCTCCCGTCGCTGCGCCGGTCAGGCGCGACCGCCGCAGGGTTCTGATCGATTCTGCGGCAGGCGGGCAGTTGCCTCCTCGAGGGCGCGCTTCGACGCACCCACATCCGCCCTGGGGTTGTAGCAGCCTGGCGGCGTCGTCGAGGCCCGCGCCGCCAACGCGTCTGGCCCCGCAGTGGCCGCGCCGCTCGATGCGCTGCCACACCAATGAGCGGACGATGGCTGCTTCCGCATGGCGGGTGCCGAAGTGTGCGCCTCTGCGTTGCGATGCCCCCACTCAGACCAGCTGGGAGACTCATTCATAGCTGGACTCACCCACACTAAGATTCACTCGCAGATCTGATGACACTCGGACCCGCTTGTTCAGATTCGCACATGCTCGGACCATTCACACTCAGATACACGCATGCGCAGCTTAGTCATACGCAGGCTCATACACGCGGACCGCTCACACCCTGCTTAGCTCCTATTAGTTTCCAGGTTCAAGCCGAGACAAACCCACATCATGCCACACATATCCAGAGTCGCCCATGATCGTCGCGATGTGGCAGGCATGGTAAGTGGTCACCCCAAGGGGGAAGCCACCAGAGTGGTAGGACATGTCCCCGCTCGCGCACAGATTGTGATGATGTGTCGGGCGAGGCGCTCGTTGGGAGTTCCTGGCCCCTCCTCTTGAGAGCCTCATGATCACAGCGATGAAGCAGGCATAGCACCTGGACATCCCAAGCGAGAACCACCAGGGGTGTGGCACTTGCCCGTTCGCGCTTCGACTGTGGGGACGTCTCGAGCGAGGCGCTCGTTCGGAGTCCCCACCGCTCTCCCTCGAGGGCCTCGTGCCCACCGCGGGTGAAGCTGGCGTGGCAGCGCGGCATGCTGGCACCCCAGGGAGGAGCCGCCATGAGGGGTGGGACACTGGCCCGCTCGAGTCCAGGCGCTCGTTTGGAGCTCCCGTGCTCTATCTTTCGAGAGCCCAGTGGTCACCGCGACGGAGCGAGCATGGCACTCGGGCGCCCCCAAGGGGGAGCCGCCACGAGGCACAGCAATGGCCCGCTCGTGCCCAGATGGCGGTGCTGTCTCGAGCGAGGCGCTCGTCTGGAGTCCCCCGCTGCTCGCTTTCGACAGCTTCGCGATCACCGCGACGCAGGAGACGTGGCACCCCGGGCGCCCCAAGTGGGGGGGGGGCGCCACAGGACACTTGCCCGTTCGCGCCCATATTGTAGGGATGTCTCGAGCGAAGCGCTCGTTTGGAGCCCCGACCCTATTCCAGACGCTTCGCGGAACCCCGCCAGCCCATCCAGAAACTATACCCAGGCGAATTGCCTTGGCACGTAGGGGAGCAGGGCAGCCACCACGCCCCAAGAGGGGGAGGATGGAGGAGGAACCAGAGGACGAAGAGGAGGAGGAGGAGGAGGAGGAGGAGGGGGAGGAGGAGGAGGAGGGGAGGGGGAGGGGAGGAGGAGGAGGAGGAGGAGGAGGAGGAGGAGGAGGAGGAGGAGGAGGAGGAGGAGGAGGAGGAAGAGGAGGAGGGAGGAGGAGGAGGGGGAGGAGGAGGAGGGAGGAGGAGGATTGGGCGGATGAGGAAGAGGAACAAGATGAGGGCGAACAGAAAGGCCAGAGGCCTTTGGGATGCTTCTAGGAGTTTCTTGTAGGCTTATTGATATTGCGGGTATCTTGCGGGCCTCTTGGGACTTCCTAGGCGCTTCTTGGGGCCTTGTTGGGGCTCTCTCGGGAGCCTTGGGGGCCATCTTCGAGGTGATCGGTCAGATAAGGAGGCGTACTCAATTAGGGTCCCCCTCAGTAGGCCAACATTGGCCCAAGACCGTAGTATAGTCGATGAGGTTGGCCTTTATCGCTGGGGCCTTTTTGGACGCTCTGGCACCTCGCGAGGCGCCCCGTCCAGATCCAGGGGGAGGGGGGGGAGGGGTAAACCCCTCCGCGAAGGGGAAGGCGGAGGGCTGGAAGAGGAAACGCTCGCCACCGCGGCGCAGCAGTCGCAGCACACGGGCACCCCAGGGAGGAACCACTAGATGGGGGTACGGCACTTTTGCCCGTTCGCCCCCCAGATCGTGGGGATGTCTCGGACGACAAGGCGCTCGTTTGAAATTCCGACGTTTTTTTCAGAGCCCCATGATCACCGCGATGTAGCGTGCATTGCGCTTGGGGGCCCCGAGGAGGAGCCGCCAGGGAGTACAACATTTGCCCGCTCGCAGCAACAGTGCAGGGATGTCTATAGCGAAACGCTGGTGTTGGTACCCCCGCTCCTCTCAGTTCAGGACCCCATGACCACCACGATGCAGCAGGCATGGCCTTTGGGCACCCGAAGGGGGGCCACCGAAGCGCGTTATACGTTCCTGGTCGCGGCCAGTTCGTGTGCACGTCTCTCGATGATCCTCAGGACGTGTGTTAGCCCAATGTGTGTGTTACCCACTTCAGCCCAACCAGTAGATCATTACATCGCCTGCGTCGTATCGAAGGCCCTCGATGGACAAGCACACGTTAGGGCTAACACACGTTCTGAGGATCATCGAATCTCAAGCCAAACGTTGGTTCTGGCACCCCCGAACCTTCCCCTTTCAAGAGTCCCCGAACAACGCAGACGTAGCAGGCACAGCACTTGGGCAGCCCAAGGGGGAGCCATCAGGGAACGCTCCGCCGCCACAGACGAAGGCTCTTCAGTCAGACGCTCACAGAGGAAAGTGCCAGGAAATGAGGTGCACGTCTGGAGATCCCCGCGTCGTGCGATCGGCTTAAACTGTCCGGGAACGGCTTAATAATAATAAGGCATGCGATGCCAATTGCCAGCGCTACGGTGTGGAATCCCGTGTCTCGCAGCGCGCTCAGCAACCGTGCCATCGGCGCGTTGGACCGCGTGAGAATCCTAGTGAGTTGTAGAATGGGATGCTTAATGTGTTCTGGGGACGACCGCGCTCTTCGCAGTACACAGGTGCGGTGAAGACCGCCCTCTCTGTGCTTTGATCAAGGTCGAACTCCGCAGCCCCAACACGCCCAACATATGCCTGACAACGTCCCCAAGACTGCTGCAAGTTTTCCCAAAACGGATCCAACGTGGTTCATAGATTTGCCACTAGTGTGGAACAGATTCCAAAGGCGCCCGAGAATGCTTCAGGTCATCCCAGAAGTCTTCCAAGGAATTCTCTGGCAAGGCGTTCAGGTTCCTTTTATTGGACGAGCACGGATTTGTTCTCTGACGCATTGCGTGTTCCAAGTTGTCGGCGCTTCGCCTATCTCCAACAGCGAACCAAAACATGTGTTGGAAGATGTCCCATGCACCATGCATGCAGCATGCATGAAGCATGCAGTGGAACAAACGTGGGCCATCCGTTACCTTGAAGGCGAGGGACACGGATGAGAAGGAAGGAGAGCGGAAGAGTGGGAGGATAATATTCCAACCGTAACGAGGAGGTGGGAGGAGGAGAAGGAGGAGGGGGAAGGAGGCAGTTGGGGCTCTCTTGGGGCCATCTTCGGGCTCTCCTGAGGGCCTTGGGGGCGCTTTGGGGGCCACATTGGAAGCCATCGGCTAAAGCAGAGGGCGGCGCTTATGTAGGCCTCCCCGTCGGAACCCTCAAAACCACCTCTTGGGGAGTGCTTGCAGCGCTCTTGGGGCCGTATTTGGCCATCCGATGACAGTCGGGAAAAGGGCAGACAGAGAGATATTGGCAGCAACGGCGGGCCAGCACAGGTTCCAAGGGCAACCCGGGGCAAGGTCGAACGAAACGCGTCAATTGCAGCGGCAAGCAAGACCCAGGGCCAGGGACACCCGGGGATAAAGAGCTTGGTTTCCCAATCACGTCGCCGCTTGGTCTCCCGTGGTTTTCGTTTCCCCACAGCACACACCAGTGGCCGACATTGCTTCTTTGGCCAGTGATCTCGCGACGGGCAAAGTTCATCCTAGGGCGCGCATCCAAATCAAAGTTTCAGAGCTGCCCCACAGCCCCCCTTTGAGAAATGGTTCCCTGTCAACGGTGCCCTGCTGAGGTTCCGCCGAGTCCTGCCCCTACGACATCCCCAACGCTGGCCCCAACTACTGAGCCCCCTGCTCAATGGTATGCTGAGATCACCGGCGGCTGCACGGTGTCCAACGGCTGCGTGAGGAGTCCGAACTATCCAGAGGATTATTCCAACGAAGACGAGTGCGAAATCACTTTGACATCTGAGGGGGTATGGCTTACGCCAACGTCCTTCGACGTGGAGAGCTACTTCGACTCGCTGACCGTGAACGGGGTGTCCTATGACGGCACCTCTTCGAATGCCCTGACAGACCCTGTCTTCGCCACGACTACCATATACTGGTCCCCAGACAGCTATCAGGCCGCCGCTGGCTGGGAGCTCTGTCCTACGCCAGCCCCTACCCAGATTTCCACGCCAAGCCCTCCTAACGGCACTGGTGCTCCTACTAGTACCCCTAGTGAATATCCAGCTGCCTGCGGCAAGTCCCGCCACCTTGCCAGCCCTGCTTTCTCGGTGGTCTTTGCGCGTCGGAGTACGGAGGTCCGAAAGGGTGACATGTTGTATCTCTGGCCTCTGGAGAGCCGTAACACGTGGCGCGCTTTTCGTAGGGCCGTCTTGCGGGGTTCTAGGGGCAAGGTGCTTGACTCCGTCAAGTATGACAGCTCGATTGTCCTGGGTTTGTTGGTGCGCACTAAGTGTTTGTGAGCGCGTCAGGGGCAATGGTGATGAATACGATGACGATGATCATTGTGATTTCACTGGGTTTCGATGCGTGTGTCTAGGCGCTCAAGTTTTGAGCATGTGGGATAAGCTCGAAAACCACGTCGTGACAGGCCTTGTCTCGTACGTCTCGCGCTGCCCCACGCCGCCATCGTGCCCTGCGTGCCCGAGCTGTTCCCTGACGTGCCCGCACTCGGCGGCCTGCCCCTGCGTGCTCGCTGCAGTGCGCAGCGATCCTGCCGCGCAAACGGGCCGAGGTGCCCACGTGCCCGGCGCCCGCCCCTTGCCCGGCGCCCGCCTGCCCAACGTGCGCCCCATGCGCGGGCCTGGAGACCGCGGCAGCTGGCGCCCCCGCGTTGCCGGCTCCGGCCCGCGGCAGGGCCGAGCTTGCAGCCAGTCGCTCCGTGATGGGCGACGTCGGCCGCGTCGTGCGGGCCTTGGTCTTCGGGCTGCTGGGCGGTTCGGTGGGCGGCCTCGCTACCGCCGCCTGCGTGGCGTGCTGCTCCTCGGCGCTGCGGCGGGACGCTCGGCCGCGGCCAGCTCTGGACGTGACCGATAGTAGTGGCAGCGACGACCAGGTGAGTGCACGTCTTCTACATTGGCGAGGCGGCATGGCACTGGCACTTGAATCTGGGGCGGGTGGCATTGTACGAGTCGTACAACTACGTGATATACACGGCCGACGGGGATTTGCACATCGTTGCGACCAACACGGCGGACGTGCAGGCAGCTCGGTTCGGAGGCTTCGGCCCACCGCCGCCCGGCATCGCCGGGAACCACGTCGATCGGTTCTGCGCCGAGCCGACGGCCGACGAAATCGCTCAGCTGACGACCGAGGCGGAGCAGATCGCGGTGGCCGAGTGCCGCGGGCGGGCGCAAGCGTCGGCAACCTGGGATTGCTCACCAACCTGCGGGCGTTCATCTTGACCAGCGTTGATGGGCATGGCGCGCTGCCGCTGGCCCCCGCCGGCCTTGCGCTCGGCCTTTTGTCAGGCAGTGGCGAAGCATCCTGGCGAGCCTATAGGCCTAGCAAACAATGCTCTAAGAACCTTTTGCGGTTCCCACGAAGTGTTCTGAAAACATGTATGTTTGGGTCTGTCTTGTTTTAACACACCGGGCTTATGTTCTAAAACAAATGCTTTTGTTATTAGAACAGTTGTGGGTTTTAACATTTCGTGGTAGGCCTATAAGAATGCCGGGACGGTTGGTCCCTGCTCAATCTTGCGGGGAGCCCCACCTGCTGCTGGCGCTGGAGCCTCAGCTGACCCCGTTTGGGCGTGGCGCTCTGTCGGCGACGAGGTGCCTGGACATGCCCCCACGGCGGCGAGGGCTAAGAATCGCGACGTGCACATCCTGCCGAGCGGGGGCGCGCCGTTCGCGGAGCTGGCGCCCGCCGCCGCGTCGGAGGCTTTTCTGCGGAAGGCGGCGGACGCGGACGCGGGCCTTCCCCGTCCAGAGGGGTGCCCAGGGCCGCCGCGATCTGCCGTGGAGCCGCATGGTGGAGATGACGCGCCAGGAGGACTTCGGATGCGAATCGGCGACCCCAGGCCCGAGGACGGCTAGCTGGCGCAAGAGCAACCTGCAGCGGGAGGCCCTCGGCATTGAGGGCCACCACGAGAATTTCCGCCACGCGCGCAAACTGAGCGCGACGGACTGGGGGGTGCAGGAACATCGCCAGCAGTCGCAGCAGATCAAGGACGCGACGTGCCAGGACCAGTTCAGCGGCACGAGCCTGACCAGCACGGAGACGCAGTCCAGGAGGCCCCAGACCACGCAGTTCGCCCACGCCGACAAAGCAAAGGACGCGGAGAGCAAGGGCATCGGCGGCAAGAACAGTCTGGAGGAGCAGGCAGCCTTGTCGGGCATATCGCGGGCGATTTCGCCCGTCGTGGCGGCCCCCGAGTTGATGGAACACGTCCGCGCCGACGTTGAGACGAAGGCGAAGTTGCGCGCGAGCCTGCGCCCCGCTCGCGAGGAGCGCGAGTCCAGGCGCGCGAATGGCTGAGCTGCTGCGCGGCGCTGCCGTCGGATGGGGGCTCTGGCGCTGAGAAGACCTCCCTCCGCGCAATGCGGGGCGACGGGGCCCCCTCCGCCCAGGGCGCCCGCTCGGCCAGGCGCGCGCGCGCTCGGCGCTGGAGGCCTTGCCGGGGGTGCTCGTCAGAGGCTGGGCAAGGCGCCGGGCGCGGGCGGGGGAGGGCGGGCCATCCCGAACTCTTTGTTCGGCAGAGCGTGCTTTGGCCGAGCGAGGCCGCTGCCCGGCCCCGTCGATGTTTCGCGCCCGCTCTGCTCTGACCCCGAGGGCGCTGTCCAGCTTTGTCAAGCCATTGCGCGATCAGCACCTCGTTGACCCCCCCCTTGAAGACGTGATCCGTGTCGACATTTTTTCTGTCGAGAGGAGAGGAGGGCGCCTCTGCGCGGCGGCGGACTGTCGCCGCTCCAACGAGTTGCTCGCCGAGCCTGCCGGCGCGAGGCCCGAGACGAGCGATGCTTTCGGGCGTCTCGAGATGGCCGATGACGACGCGATGCTCACCGCGGAGGAGGGCGCCGACCTGATGGGCGCCTTCTACCACTTGGCGCTTCCGGAGGCGCCGCGCCGCGCATTCACGCTTCGCGGCGTCCGCGCGGGAGCCCTGGGCATCTCGTCGATCGGCGGCTGGGGCGCGAAGCCGCCCGCCAGCTTACCCCCGCTATTACGGGCGGTGCCGACGGGCTGGTCGCGGGCCGCACGGCGGCGCCAGTCGGCGATGGAGCGGGTCGCTGGGGCGAGTGGCTCTGACGACGCCTCTCGAATTCGCGACGGGCGGCCCGCGCCGTCGCGCGCGTCGCCCCACCCTGGGGCGCGCTGGCAATGTCATCGGCACCGGTCACGACGCCAGCGCGGTGCGCAGCAACGCGATTAAGGTCGCGACGCAGTTGAAGAGCCTTGGTTCGTCGCGACCAGGGAGGCCCACCTCGGCGACGAGGACGGCGAGCGCAATTTGCCGGGCTGGTCGGACGCCGCCAGCGGCCGCTTCTCGGCGCCGGCTGCCGGGCCACGGCGCGCGCGGCTGGCGGCGCGGGGGCCGCGGGCCAAGGGCCTCGCGTCGGGCCGCGACGTCGAGAGGGCCCTCGGCCGCGCGATTCCCGTGGCCTTCGCGCGCCGCGGGAGATTCGGCAGGCCCCGCGCTGGAGTCTAGTTAGGCAGGGGCTCATGGCCTGGGATGGCGCCGCCCCTCTGTTGCGGCGTGACCCCCGCGCGCAGTGGCCCCCGCCCGTCGGTCGCGCGGACGCGCTTCTGCGGGGGTCGGGCGCCTGCAAAGCCGACTGGGAGGTGAAAGCTTCGCGGGGGGGGCGGTCGCCATTGCGAGAGGCGGCGCCCTGGCAGGACAGGGCGCTTGACCTCCTCGCCAATCCGCCCGCGCCTCCGATCTCGCAGCTGATGAGGGCTGTTCTCGACGTCGCCGCGCACGGCAGTTAGCCCGGCGCGAGTTTGCCCCGCGCGGCTGACGCCCAGCCTGCGGGGCCGCCCTTCGATCGGGATCCCGCGAGCTTCCGCGAAGTCCCGAGGGGCGCGCTGTAAAAGAACCCCGTGGCGCATCATGGGGGGGGAGGAGTGGGACCGCCCCGAAGGGGTGCCAGCGCTCGAGGCTCGCGCTGTTCTGTCTCATGTCCGTCATGCTTTGAGCGCTGCACGTAATCATGGGAAGCGACATCTGGTCTCGGGAGATTCGTCGGCGACGGTTTCGGCGAGCAGGACGCGGGCCCGCACTCGCACTATGCTACGCGTCACGCGCAAGATCGGCGGCCTTGCTTTGGCCACGGGCTCAGCTTTCAGTCTTCGGTGGACCCCGTCCGAGTTCTACGTTGCAGGTGGCCCCTCGCGGGGGCCCACGGGAGCGCCTCGGCCGGGGCCATCTGACGCTGTCATCGGGCAGCCTCCCGTCGGCGCCTCCAACATCCAGGACTCGCTCCAGGACCTCGGTCAAGCTGTCGCATCGCCGGAACTTCGCCATCAGCCCAGGCACCACAACATCGGCGACCAGGATTCGACCCGGGACTCGAGCCAAAACGACGAGGGCCAGGGCCTGGACCAGGGTAAGCACGACGACCCGACGCCCGATCACCCCGTCCATCCTGTAGCCTCGCTGGCTCAAATTGCCCCACGCGTATCCGCGCGTCTCCGCGCGCCCTGTTCTGCGACGCGCAACCGGGCGCGACGGGGCGCGCCGTCGCAGGCCCGCCGGCCAGGGCCGTTCGGGAGAGGCCACCTGGGGCGACCGTGGCTGGGGGCCAGCCAACGTTGCTGCGCCCCCCTGACCCCCGCCTCCTCGGCGGCGGCGCCCCCGCCCGCGCTGCGCGCGGCGGGCGCGCCCGGCGGATGCGCCCGGCGCGGGCTCGAGGGGCGCGCCGGCCCCGCTCGAGCCAACCCGCCCGGCGGACGCGCCGCGAGGCGCACCTGCGCTGAGCGCGGCCTCGGCGCGGACCACGGCGGGGCGACGAGCTCGCGCCGACGTGCAAAATGGGGTTCGACAGTTGGGCGAGGTCGCGCGGGAGGTCGGCGGCGACGCCCGTCGAGATGGACGCCTCGGCCCGCGACCATCTCGCGCGCCTCTTCCAGCCTGGCCGCCGCCGGACCCACGCGAACCGCACAATCGCGGCGAGCGCGCGGAGGGGCCCCGCCACGCCAAGGCGGGGCCGCGCGACCTGCCCCCGTCCAAGCAGGCAGCCAAGGGGCGGCGCAACCTCGCGCCCTCCGCAAGCCGAATGGC